GGGCGGGTAGTCAATGGAGGGTTTTGAGCAAAGATGTGGCATGATCTAAGTTAGATTTTAAAAGGATTATTTTGGTGCTGTAAGGAGAATATGCGTTGAATAGGTGCAATCTACTCAACAGGGAGCAAGATATTCCCTAGGCCTCCAGTGAATGATTCTAAGGAAAGAAAATGCTCATAATCTGACCATCAGCATAGCCAATATTAATTCATTTATTCATTCAACAAATATTTAAGTGCAAACTATATACCAGGCATCAGTAATGTATCTAACATATTTGACACTCTAAGCAAATCATTTTTAATGGCTTTCTCTATATGACAAAATTATTTTGAGAAATAATGATGACTGAGTAATATTTTATTGTATAATATATACCACATCTTTTTTATCCATTCATCTATCAATGGACACTTAGGTTGCTTCCATATCTTGGCTATTCAGCCATAAAAAAGGATGAGATATTGCCATTTGCAACAACATGGATGGGTTTAGAGGGTATTATGCTAAATAAAATATGTCAGACACAGAAAGACAAATACCATATGGTTTCACTTATATATGGAAACTAAATAACAAAACAAATGAATAAACAAAGAAAAAGCAGAAGGAGACTTATTAATACAAAGGACAAATTAATGGCTGCCAGAGGGAGGGGTGAGGATGAGCAAAATGAGTGAAGGAAGATAGAGACTTCCAGTTATCGAAAAATAAGTCAGGATAACAAAAGGTACAGCACAGGGAATACAGTCAGTGGTATTGTAATAGCATTTTATAGTGACAGATGGTACTACACTTGTGGTGAGCATAGCATAATGTATAGAGTTATTGAAGCACTATGTTGTAAACCTGAAACTAATGTAGCATTGTGTGTCAACTATACTCAAAAATATTAAATATTTATTAAATAAATATTAAATATTATAACTATTATTTGTAAATATTAAATATTATAATAAATATTTTAAAAGAAAGAAGGATGAAATTAAACTAATAATAAAAGGCATAAAAGACACTGAAATTTTTCTTTTATTGAACTTCATATCTATCTATCATAAAAATAAAACAAATAGTGCAGTACAGAAAAGGAGAAAAGTAATGGATCAATGTTTTCTAATTGCATTAATGTATGTTTTTAAAAGAGAAAGAACTTAAACCTGTATATAAAGTTTATTTCATATAAAGCAACATATATACAAATAAGAAAAGTCTTAAAATTGTGAATAAGCTCGTATATGTGCTGCCGAAGCGAGCACAAAATTGTGAATAAGTTTGGAAGAGAATTATAATAATTTTCTTTCACAGAACTTCCATGAATTACGATACCATCCATGTGTTAGTTTATTCAGGATCAAATCCAGTGGCATTCAAATTTTCCACAGTTGAAAATTTCAACTAAATATCTTCGTCAGAAAATTAATTACACATTTCTATACTACTAGGTAAAAACTTCAGAAGTTCTTCTTCTGTAGAAATCAGTGAAAAATGTCTGAATGAGAGGGAACTTTGACATCATTTGATCCATTGCTTTAGAACAATTGTCCAGTGCTTTCTGCAAACTATCAAGGCATTCATTTAATGCCCTTTTTGGTTTCTTCTGGTAATATCACACAATCATCTTCTGTCATTTCTCCTGCTATTATTTTTTTAAAATGTGATCATCTTTTCTATGTAATGTCTATCTCCTTACATTGTATTGTTGCATAGTAAATTACTTCCTTCACATTTTCTGTGTCCCAATTTTTAAGGAACAGTTTAAGACTTTGTTTTTCACTGTGTGGTGCTCAAGGCTAATTCTGGCTGTTTGCACATATTTTTCTGTTTGATTAACAACCTCATCTAAATTTTCATACCAGAAAATTCAAATTCAGTAAAGTAGTTCATGATATATTAAAAGTTACACTTTTTGTGGCGCCAGGGTGGCTCAGTTGCTTAAGTGTCTGCCTTCGGCTCAGGTCATGATCCCAGGATCCCGGAATTGAGCCCTACGTGGGCTCCCTGCTCAGTGGGGAGTCTGCTTCTCCCTCTCCCTCTGCCCCTCCCCCTGCTTGTGCTCTCTCGCTCTGTGTCAAATAAATAAATTTTTTTTTAAAGTTACACTTTTCCAAACAAAATTTACACCTCAAAGTTTGCACTCCATTTCAGTGTTTTAAATTTTAAACACACACACACAAAACACCGAATGGTCACATAAAATGGCAGAATTGAAATAATCCAGATTCGGGCGCCTGGGTGGCTCAGACGGTTAAGCGTCTGCCTTCGGCTCAGGTCATGGTCCCAGAGTCCTGGGATCGAGTCCCGCATCGGGCTCCCTGCTCCTTGGGAGCCTGCTTCTCCCTCTGCTTCTCTCTCTCTCTGTCTCTCATGAATAAATAAATAAAATCTTAAAAAAAAAAAGAAATAATCCAGATTCTGTTTCTCTTTTTCAATCACTGTGCTATCATTGTTCATTTCTAATCTGTTTAAATGCAGGGATATGTAGTACCACAGGGGGCAGAGATGCAACCTGCACCAAAGTTGAGCTCCAACAATTTGGAAACTTTGTGAATGTATTCTCTAAAAGAATTTGTATAGCTCAGTCAACATGTTTTTGGAAACTGACTGTATAACTTGGAATTCTCCAAATTAATTTTCATTGGAGAATACAATGTTTGTTAAAGAATAAGTTATCAAGATGTGCTAATTTGAGGGTTACATATAGTAACCAAAAGATTTGTTTAGAACTTAGACCAAAAAAAAAATAAAAGTTTTCTAGGGGAGGAGTATTTTATTAGCGACATTGCTTAGAATTTCCAGTACATGGTAATAATAAAAAGAATGATTTTTCTTGTTTTAATGATTTTAAATTCTTTATAGATGATATATCTCCTTATTGACTGCACTCAGGTCTGACTACTCCCATTCCTGCCCATAGGGCCTCGCAGCCTGTTATGGTTCTATGTGGTGGATATGAAACAATGAACAAAACAGACATGAAGACAAAACCCCTGGTCTGTTTCAGCTTAAGTGTAAGTTTTTGACCAGGAAAACAAAAAAAGAAACAAGATTATTTCAAATAGTGTTAACTACCATAGAGGGTGAGAGGTTGGTGTGGTAGATACTCTAGATTGGGGGAACAGAAAATACTTCTTCAAGGAGCAGATACTTGAGCTGAGACTTGAGTAACCTCTTGAGTAACAAGAGGGTCCACTTATGTGAATATTTGAATATCACAGATTCACAGATTCACAGATTCACTTATGTGAAAATTGCAACAAATGCAAAAACCCTGAGGTGGGAACAAATTCACTAGAGTATCATGAGTGAAGCAGAAAGTAGTAGAAGTCAGGCAGGAGCCAGATCATATGTGTAAAATTTCAATTTTCTTTTTATAAGAAATATTTAAGGGGTACCTTGATGGCTCAGTCAGTTAAGCATCTGCCTTCAGCTCAGGTTATGATCTCAGGTCCTGGGTTTGAGCCCTGCATTGGGCTCCCTGCTCAGCAGAGGAGTCTGCTTCTCCTTCTCCCTCTGCTCCTCCCCCCTGCTCCTGCTCTTTCTCTCTCGCAAATAAATAAATAAAATATTTTTAAAAAGAAATATTTAATTTAAATATTATTTAAATATTTTCTGATTTATTACTGTAGGTTTACCAATTGCTACTG